CAGACTGTGCAGAATCTACTGAAGTAAATTTGACCTTCTTTGGCCTTTTGACAACTAGTCAATTATTCTTTGGTAACATTTTGACCTCACTACCTAATGGTTATTAAACTTCAACAGCAGGCAAGATCTCTTTCCAATTAGCATCTGAAATGTCACCACAAGCTGATTATTCCCTTGTGTTTACACTGTCACCTCCTTCAAACTCTCATTTAGAATTCTAAGTAGGGGTGACTAAATAAAATTTTATTGTAACAAGATTATTTTCTTTGTTAAGGATAAACATGATCCTCAATGAATCAATAAAAGAGATAAAGAAGGTACAAAAATTAATATTGCTGGATCTTAAAATAGTTAATTTTTAAATTTTCTTAGACTTGATTTGACTTGTATGTGTGCTTTCTACAGCTGTTAAAGCACCTTGCTCTTCCAGACAGTCTGGAGATGTATGGAAATGGTAGTCTACAACAGTCTCACTAATAACCTGCACCAGTGTCCTCAACTGCGTTTGTACTTCCACGCAGTGTCACAACATTTAGTTGTGTAGGTTGTATGCTGCACAACTCTAAGGATGTCACTGTTACACTGACTATGACACACAGCCATATGCAGCAGGGTTCTCCAGACATAAGAGTTGCCAGAGGTAGTAAATAAAAACAGAGAATGCCCATACAATATTTGAGACATACCTTTACTAAAAAAATTTGTTGTCTGCTAAAAATCCATATTTAGTTGAGTGGTCTGTATGGTACCTAGAATATGAGATATTTGGAAAGTATGTGGCCATATTTATGGTTGTCCCTGTGACTGGAGGGTATAACTGACAATTAAGACCACTTATCCTAAATACCTTGAAATACCTTGAAGGTTTTCACATTCTGAGCAATGTTGCTTTTCTGCTTAATTACACAATGGTTTTAGTTTCCCAGGTGAACAGTCTGAATTTAATTAAACATCTTAATTTAAAGTCTGAATTTCATTCTAGAAATAAGGAAACCGAACACCAGAGAGAACAAGGGGTTGACTAATCTGAATCAATACAAATGAAAGGCTGGTATAACGTGGTCAATAAGCCCAGGTCCCTTATGTGACTGTTGCAAAAGGCCTATGGAAGTGAGAAGTGCAGTTTGGGGGGCAGGTGGAAGGCAGCTTTGCAGGGTCCTGGGGTCTGTTAGTTCTATGTGAGCTTAAAGCTAATGTGTGAATTTTAAGCAGAAAAACATCATGATCGTGTGTATTTCAAGGAAAGATGACAATGCAGCATTGTGAAAGAAGGGATAGCAAGAGGTCCCGGAGAAAGCCATTGGCAAAACCCCCTTTATCCCCACATGTTGTATTCCCTGAGCATTCCATTCTGCTGCCCTGTCAGGCCTCTCAATTGGTAGTTGTGTTCTCTCCCATCCTCCTAAAAACCCTCGTCCCAGCAGGGGAGAACAGTGAGGTAGGCAGGCACCTTGCATTTCCTTGCTCTTCTCATCACTACTCTATCTTCCTTTATAAAAATGTCTTGTTTTGGATGTCGCATCTCACTTGTCTACTGGACTCTAAGTTGCATTCTCCAATAGTACTTTTGTCATAATCCACAGTTATTTTAATATTTAGACAAGTCCT